ATTAAGTCAAAATGAATCCTAATGTTACAGAGAAGTAAAAAGAATCAATAAAAAAAAGATATTTGGCTTCTGTGACTCCATATTCTTCTGCTTGCTTCTTACCCTACTGGCTTCTCATCCCTTGGAATCCTTCCCTTCTAGAGTCACACTCTTTTTTAGGGTGCTGTCATCCAGTCCTGTGGGTTCAAATGCATTTGAGTCTTCTTTAAATGCCAGATTCAGATCCAAGCATCTGCTAGGCATTTCCACTTGGGCATCTTATAGCCATTCTTTTTTTTAATTTTATTTATTTATTTTTATGTGGTGCTGAGGATTGAACCCGGGGCCTTGCTTTTGTGCGAGGCAAGCACTCTACCACTGAGCCATAACCACAGTCCCCTCTATTTTATCTTAAAACCCTTCATAATCTGTGTCCTAGAGGGATACCCAGGACTCATTTTAATCAATACATCAAGACTTACAGATGACAGTCACGAGGGAAGATTTTTATACTCTCAGATCTCTAGAAATAGGAGGGACAACAAGCCACAGGGAGGCAGCCAGAGCTAGGGGGAAATATGGGCAAGGGTCTTTATTATGGCTTCTATAGTAAGGAAGGGTCAGCAAGCTTAGGGTAGGTTAGCCTGAGTAATTTCTGCAGCCTGTGAGGCATACAGAGACTGTTCTCAGTGGCCTGAGACCCTGGGTCTGTAGGGAACAGGGCAGCAGAACAAAGGCCCAAAGTATGGGAGCTCTAGGAAGGAGCTGGCTGCAGGCATGGCCCTGGCTCAGTTGGTTTGCACTGAAAGGCAGTTCACATGTGAGTTGTTTGCTAGCCCTAGAAATTAGCCAGCCCTGTGAAGGGCAGTACTTCCAGTGTCAGCAAAGACTAAGATGTCAAACACCAAATACAGTATCTAGAAACTGTGGCTCTTTCTTCTTATATTCCTGTTTTGTTTCTGTAAGGTCAGTATAAATGACCCCTTTTTTATACATTTTTAAAAGTTTATATCTATTTTTTGTGGGATTAAACCCAAAGGTGCTTTACAGTCTTGCTAAGTTGCCCAACTGGCCTCAGAATTTGTGGTCCTCCTGTCTCAGCCTCTGGAGTTGCTGGGATTACATGCATAAGACTACTCAAGGCTGTTGAAGCCAGATTTAAAGTTAGGTAGTCAGTGTAGTTAGATAAATCGGGTCTAATATTGAGTGAAATCTAAAATGGAGACCATGCGGAGAATGACTCAGGGGAAACACAGGACAACTCATGGAATGTTAATGAAATCCCTAAAAGGCCCTAGGCCAAAGTCCACCTCAAAGAAATGTTAATGAACAGCCCCCAGCAAAAAGGTGCTGACTCAGAAGTCCTTCCTGACCAGATTACTTCTTTGGCCCACCTGTGTCCCACCCCTCGGGCCTTCCCACCTACATTCCATCACTGAAAGAACTATAAAAAGGGGAGACAACATCCCTTCCACAGATTCCACCTCTTGGGTCCCCTTCTTCCTCCGGGAGAAGTCTTTTCTGCTGTCCTTTAATAAACTTCTAATTTCTACTCTGACTTTGCCTCAGTGTGCTTCTTTGGTGTTATTCTTCAACATCGGGGAAGCAAGAACTCGTCACCGGTCAACAGCGGTAACAGAATCCCAGACTCTCATGCTAGGTGAGTGCTCTTCCTCTGAGCCACAATCCCAGTCCTATGCAGTTGTCTTTTAAATTAGATATGGGCAAAGAGTTGCAAACAAAAAAATATATATTTCATACTATTTAATATAGTATTAATAATACTATACCTTTACTGATGCTTTTTAGTTCATGAGGATTTGCATTATTGTTTAATGTCCTTAACTTTCAGCCCAAAAGACTCTTTAGTATTTCTTTTAGTGCTAGCAACTAATTCTTTCAGTTTTTGTTTATCTGGGAATGTCTTAATTTATACTTCATGTTTGAAAGATGATTATGCTGGATATAGAAATCTTGGTTGTTGGGCTGGGGTTGTGGCTCAGCGCTCACCTTGCACGTGTGAGACCCTGGGTTCAATCCTTAGCACCACATAAAAATAAAATAAAGATATTGTCCCCATGTAATACTAAAAAAAAAATTTAAAATATTGGTGGTTGTTGTTTTTTTCTTTTGTACTTTGAATATGTCATTCTGAAGCCAGACTTAAAATTAGGCAGTCAGTGTAGTTAGGTAAATCGGTAATATCGAGTGAAATCTAAAATGGAGGCCATGTTGAGAATGAATTTCTGGAAAAGTTGAGCAACTCTTGAAATGTTAATGTTAATAAAGTCCCAAGAAAAGCCCTAGGCCCAAAGTCCATCCGAAAGAAATGTTAATGAACAGCCCCAGCAGATTTGAAGATAGCCCATCCCAAAGAAGTGTTAATGAAGTCCTTCCTGCCCAGATTACTTCTTTGGCCCACCTGTGTCCAACCCTTCGGGCCTTCCCACCTACATTCCATCACCAAAAACTATAAAATGGAGAGACAACCGCACTTCCATGGATTCCACCTCTTGGGTCTCCTTCTTCCTCCGGGAGAAGTCTTTTCTGCTGTCCTTTAATAAACTTCTAATTTTTCTCTCTGACCTTGCCTCAGCGTGCTTCTCTGGTGTTATTCTTCAACATTGGGGAAGTAAGGAACAGCGGTAACAATTCCACTTCTAATAAGTAAGATTGCTAATAAAAAACATGGTTAATTTTGTGGAGGATCCCTTGTGCATTTTGGTGCAGAGAACTTCAGTGTCAGCTAGTTGTGAAAGGTTAAAATCTTCTGGAGTGTTTCCTGAGCTGGAGCTTTTCAAAGTTCCTGTGGACATCTAATTCTTAAGCTTTTTGTTAGTTTATTGTTTTCCCCAACTGTTATCTATTACCTTAGCCAGTCATATTATTAAAGCATTGACAATCCTTAGGCTAATTCCAATGAGACCAGGTAAAGGCAAACATTAACCACTAAATAGGTCAAATAATGACTTCCTTGGGAATGAGCCTTTGAAAGGGCTCCAGTACTTACCCTCTCCTGGTACAGATACTGGGAATGTGGGCTATTAGTTTTCAAGGTTGCCATGGAACTGGAGGTGGGAGAGGACTAGGGTAAGTTAAAAATGCTACAAAGATTGCTCTTCCTAGTGAGATTCAGCTGTTTTTTCTTGAGAAATGCTAGATGAGTTACTGCAAGCCTTTTGGTTAATTTCCAGAGCTCTGAAAAAGTTGACAATTTTTGCCATTTTTTTTTATTGCTTTAATGCAAGTTTTTTTTCCCCCATTACTTTTTGAGGTCTTAACCCACTCGTTTCACTGATATCACCTTTCCTTTCCTTTCAAAAATTTATTTTATTGTAAAATAATATCAAAACCACAACTAAAATTAAAAATTAAATGCTTAAATTAAAAATATTTGTACTATTAAAAAATTAAAATCACAAAATTCAACAGAATTGCTCCTCATCCCATTCCCTAATTAAATTAATCCAGGGGCTGGGGTTGTGTCTCAGTGGTAGAGTGCTCACCTAGCATACATGGGGCACTGGGTTCAATCCTCAGCACCACATAAATAAAATATATTGGGTCATCTAAAACTAAAAAATAAATTTAAAAACATTAATCCATATTCATTTGTCCATGTTACTATCAACTTTTCCTTACACTTAATAATTTTATATTTTTGGGGAGGTGGTGGTGCTGGGGACTCAACCTAGGGCCTCATGCTTAATCTGCTCTACCACTGAGTTGCACTCCCAGCCCCATTTCCCCCCCATTTTTGTGGTAATTCTACAGTTAATGTAATATGGGTTCACCCCAATCTTTCTGTCCCTCCTCTTCCCTTTTCCACTTTCCTAGAACCTATTGTCTACATCCTACAACCACAGTTTCCTCCAATGCTCAAAACTATTCTGGTGCATACACACACAAGTAGGGTCTCTCTTTGTTAGACATTTCTATAATTTTTTTCTCAACACATCGGTCAACAGATTTAATGCCTACTTGATAAAGCTGTTAATAGTGTGCCTTGGAGTCAGCCATATGCTCTCGGCGCCATCTGAATGCTTGAGTACGTGACTTGTGTTCCTTTTACGTCTGGTTCCCGGGCTCAAGAATCCTGCTCACTTTAAATTTAATAACTACCCCGCCCCCACTACCCGGAGGACTTTTAACAACTCACCCAGCAACACACGAGAGTCCTTGGCTCTGGAGGGCCTTTCAACTTTGTTGGGGCATTACTTGGAAGGGGTGGGGAGAAACGGACTTGTTTTTTAAATAACAAAACCTTTTTTTTTTTGGTTTGAAATACGGAATCCACTGCCTGGATTCCAAAGGCCAAGGCAACAGGCTCGTTTGTAATTGGGAGTGATTGTTTCCACTTTTTCCGGGGGGTGGAACCCACATCCGTTGTCCCGCTTTTTTGTGTGTGGCACTGGGGATTGAACCCAGGGCCACATACACTGGGGAAGTGCTCCACCACCGAGCCACGTCCCCGGGCCCAGGCTGGCCTCGAACTTGAGATCCTCCTGCTTCAGCCTCCCGAGAGGCTGGGGTTACAGGCGAGCGCCATCGCGAAACCCGTCGTCCCTGCTTCTGTTGGTCCCTCCAGGAAGCCAGGCCTGCGCGACGCCTGAATTTCTTACACGCACCGGCAGGCGGACGGGCGTCCCGGGCGGCGCCGACGACGCCAACGGGCCGCCGCAGGGCAGGATGGCGGAGGAGTGAGCTGGCCGCCTGGGTGAAGTCGCTGAGCCTCGCAAGCGCGACCCCAGAGGAAGGGGCTGCTCCTCCCCAACGCCCGGCGACGCCCCCTGAGGGCCTCGGTTTTGAGCCCCCGCGGCTGCAGAAGGCGGGTCAGCGCCGAGCCGTCGTCGAGCCGCGGCGCCCAGCTGGGAGCGCTGAGGCGAAGCCGGCGGCCCAGCTGCGGCCCGGGGGCGTGGCGAGGCCGCACAAGTTCTGTTTTCCGCCGCCCGGTCCGCTTTCGGTTTCGTTTCCCGCCAGCCTCTCCGCCCCGCGGGAGTCGCCCGGCCGGCCCATGTCCGTCGTCGCCGGCGTCGCGCCAGTCCGCGGTCCGACGGCCATGGCCCAGGCCGCCGCCGTCGTGGTGGGCGAGGTGACCCAGGTGCTGTGCGCTGCCGGGGGCGCCTTGGAGCTGCTGGAGCTGCGGCGCCGCTTGCGGACGAGCGTGGGCGCCGAGGCGCTGGAGCGGCTGCTGCAGGAGCGCGGGCGCTTCGTGGTGGCGGCGCGGGCGAGCGCCGGTGGCGCGGCGGCCGCGGCCCCCGAGCGCGTGGTGCTGGCCGCCTCGTCGCTGCGCCTGTGCCGCGCGCACCACGGCCCCAAGCCCGGCTGCGTGGGGCTCTGCGCGCAGCTGCACCTCTGCAAGTTCATGGTCTGCGGCGCCTGCAAGTTCCTGAGGGCCGGGTAAGGCGCCGCGCTGGGCCGCGGGCGGGAGCGGGCCGCGGGCGCCCAGCGGGTCGGGCAGTGGGGGCTTCGGTGGCCTCGCCTCGTCGCTCACCAGAGCAAACCTCTGAGGAGCGCTGGGAGAGGGGCTCGGGTCGAGGAGCGGCCTCTTCTCCCGAGGACGTCGAAAACCGAGTGGCGTCCACGGAGCGCGGTGCCAGGACCGACACCTGTTGGGGAGGGGAGAGAAATGGTGTCCGCCCCTGGTCTCCAGAGCTGCCTGGGAGGGCCAGGCCGCCTAGAAGCCCATGTCTCTGCCATTGCCCTCCCAGGCCTTAGGCATCTGGTTCCTGCCCACCCTTCAGGGGTCCTTATTACGGGAATCTGGATCACCGCCACCCAGCCAGGCTCATCTGGTTGCCTTCCTCTGTTTGGAAGGCCCTTTCTGGTTAATGCCTTGGACCTCAACTCAAAGGTCACTTCCTTTGGAGCTCTTTCCCCTTATTCATAACATCTAGGTGTTTATTTTTCTCATAATGCCCAGTCCCCTTGCCCCAGGTGAAAGTAAGGACAAAGGCCATAGCCAAATGCAACAAAGACAAAGGCCCTTGCAGTAAATAGTCTAAGGACCAAGGCCCTGCTGGCTGTCTTCTCAGCGTCTAGCCCTGTGCTCTGCCCCCTGGCACGTGGTCATTGAAATGTGTGGAATGGATTGCTAAGGTTTATGCAAAAGAATTTGGACCCCATCCCATCAAGCTGCTAGAGAGAGCAGCCATCAAGTTTGCATTTTAGAAGAGGTCTTAGGTAATGGTGAGGATGTTGATTTAGAGGACCTTCTTGGAAGCTAACCCAGTTATATAGAATTATTTCTTCCCTTCTTTTGTCCTTCCTTACTCTCTTCTTTTGTCTTAACACAGTAGATATATTTCTTCCTCAGGTTTAATAGTCTGGGGCAGGGACCTTGATCCATGCAGTCATTCAGGGACCCAGGCTGACTGACCTGAACTCAGCCCTCCTCAGTACATGGCTCTTGGGGCCATTCTAGGTATCAAGTTGTAAAGGTAGGTGGAAAAAATTAACAAGGGAAATTTTCATGGGCTAGGTCTAGAAGTGGTAGACTCCCATTGAGTAGAAGCTGTCTCAAGACCCTACCTAGATATAAGAATGTTTCGAAATGTCTCTAGGAGCCAGCTGTCCAGAAGTTCCAGATTAGAAAACTTCTGTGGTATTTTAATATTCCAAGGGGTACATATGTGAGAATTTGGGGAAGTTTAGGAGTTGGTGACAGTGTGGAGAGAGGCTGTGGAGAACTGACAACTCTTGGGTTTCTGCTCCTACTGTGGATTGAGACCACTAGAGGATTTTCATTCTATCTGAAGCTTGGGAAGAAGGCTGGGCTTCCCAAGATACTGATCTACAAGATTTTGGGTGGTGAGTGCTATGGCTCCAGTCCCAGAAGTGGATCAGATTTAGGGAGAAGCTTGTAAAGAGGCTGAGGTGGAACCCTGGGAAATCTGCCTCCAAGGATGAGCCACCTGGGGTGGGGGGAATGGAGCAGTTTCCTAGAGGAAGAAGACACACAATAGCGGGTCTGGATGGGGCCAGTGATGGGGATCACTAGTGAATCTTTTTAATGTGTGTAGTTGGTAAAATAAAGATGACTTTTTCCACTCTTATGCTAGTTACCAAAATTTAGGGTCAAATTTTACTTGTGTTGGAAATCTGATGTTTATTGACTTAATGACTTGAGTCTTTTCTTCATTCCTCATCTTTCTCATTTCCTTGATTTACACAAGGAAGTTTCTTGAACCATCCTTCTCTGACTCATCAAGGGAGAATGGGTGTGGTTGACTAACTTTCTGTTTTCCCTGTGATTTGTCTTCCTGATCACAAGATCAGGTCTATGGGAAATGGGGTATCAGTCCTGCTACAGAGTTGGGAAGGAGTTATGGTCCCTGACTCCCAATCCTGTGCTCAGGAAGTGGGAGTCAAGAGCACAGTCACAAGAACTAGCCCATCTTGATTCAGCGCAGCCCTGCTCCTTGGCTGGTGATCTTGGGCAAGTGGCTTTATATCTGAGCCTCAGTTCCCTCATCTATGAAATGGGGACAATAATATTACCTCACAATATCACCTCTCTTGTTGAGAATTGAGTTAATGGGCTGGGGATATGGCTCAAGCGGTAATGCGCTCGCCTGGCATGCGCGGGGCTCTGGGCTCGATCCTCAGCACCACATAAAATTAAATAAAGATGTTGTGTCTGCCGAAAAATGAAAAATCAATGTTTAAAAAAAAAGAGAATTGAGTTAACTCATGAAGCATTTAGGCAGTCCTTGGTATAAGCTCAATAAGTTTTACTTGTTGTCATTGTCATCATTAATCATCATTATAATCATTAGCCTCTGGCAGCACCAAACCACTTGCTCTTCTACCTGTGAGGTTCTGCCTTTCTCTCCTTGTCTGGTTCTTCCTTGCCCTCTTTGTGTTTGGCTTAAGGCTTTACACCTTCCAGCACCCTCTTGTGACTTCTTCTCCAGTCCTCTTCCCAACCCGGACTGGGATGCTTCTTCCCTCTTGCTGCCGTGTTCTCACTGCACCTGACCTTGTACTTTCCACCCTATATTTGAGTCATCTCTGTTTCTGTTGCCTTTACTGAAGAGGGAAAGAGAGGAGTCAAGAATGACCTCGAGGTTTTTGGTCCATGTGGTTGAAAGACGGATGATACCTTTGACTGAGGTGGAGGAGACAATGGGAGGTGCAGGTTTGGGGGGTAGATCGGGAGTTTGGTATTTTTTTGAGGTGCTTATTGTAAGTATGGCCTATGTAGAATGGCAGTGCCTGGTTTGAGCAATCTGCCTGACTCTTTCTGGTCTTGGTAACCTGGGCCATCATTTGAAGGTTTATCTTTGAGTCCTCAGAATGGGGTACCAGGTCCTGTCACCCAGTTCATGTTCCTCAGATGTTTGAGGATTGAAAGTATGGAGGAAGGGAGCTGAAAAAAGGGCTGGGCTCAGGTGGTGTGTGTGTGTGTGTGTGTGTATACACGTACCTATGCATACGTTATCATAAGGCACTCTGACGATTCACTCAGCCCGTGTTTAAAAGTGCTTACTGATAGCCAGTGTGCTGTGAGGCCTTTTTGGATGTTGACCCTGTCATTCACTTTGAATGTCCTCAGAGAGGTGTTGTCCTGGGCCTTTGGCATTGCATAGTCCCATCTCTTTCTTGGTGAATAAACATTGTTTTTGTTACATGGGCATGCTGGTTTTCCTCTGGTGCTTGTAAGTACTATCAGGAAGTATTCCTGAAAAATTGTCATGAAGACTAATTTCACTAACTGTGTTAGGTTTGCCAAGGCTGCTGAGACAAAATGCCATAGACTGGGTGGCTTAACCAACTGAAATTTATTTTCTCACATTCTGCAATAAGGTGTTGCAGGGTTGGTTTCTTTGGAGGCTGTTTTCCATGGCTCCTTCTCACATGGTCTTTTCTCTATGCATGACTGTGTTCTCTCTTTTCTAAGGACAGCATTTATGCTGGAGTAGGGCCCACTCTAATGACCTCATTTTAATTTAACTACTCCTTTGAATACCCTGTCTCCAAATGCAGTCACATTTCTAAGGTTCTAGGAGGTAGAACTCCAGCCTAAGAGTTTGGGGAGACACAACGTAGCTTGTAACACCATCTCTGCTTCTTTGCAGGAAGAACTGTAGGAATGGTCACAGCTTGACAACTGATCACAACCTGAGTGTGCTGAGATCTCACGGTGTTGACCACCTCACCTATAGTGAGCTGTGCCAACTCTTGTTTCAGAATGACCCCTGGCTTTTGCCTGAAGTGAGTGCTAGTGGGGGGAAGGGAGTCCCTGCATGGAATATGGAAAAGACTGAGTGGTTGGAAAATAAGGAAATATTATGGTTGAAGAGAAGCCAAGGACTCTATCTTGACCAAAAGCCGGCTGCATAGTGGAGACCTGGATTTAATTTCCAGTTCTGCTGATTTCTAGACCTGTGACCTTGGGCCAGCCTTACACTTCTTGAAACCTTTCATTCCTTATCAGTTGGGCTGGTACTACCTCACTTGCAGGGCTTCATGAGGTTGGGAGTCTGTTTGGCCAGTGCCTCCAGTAAGTGTTACCTATAGAGAGGGATGAGAGATGCCAGCAGCTCATTACTGTGTAGTAGGAGTTGGGACCACATTGCTGGGTATCACTGGACCCAATTGGTCTGAGGAGAAGCCTTCCATAGCTGCTGATGGCCACATGATGCTCTCTGTACTCATTGCACACAGGCAATTTTGAAAATAAGCTGATGTGAATCCTCAGATTGAGTTAAGCTCCCTGCACTGGTTCTGTAGCAGTTGGTGGGTGGGTGGGGATTAGAAGTATGAGAAATTAATTGGGGTAGGGAACAGGAGAGGGTGGGATGAACCTTCAGATAGCAGTGAGGCAGGTCTGACGTTCATGGCAGGACATAGGGAAAGACTGGGCTGGGTAGAAAGACTGACTGCAGCATGGTTCCAGGAAAGATTCCACCCTGAACCCTCAGGCAGCACTGGAGCTGCAGTGGCTGTGACTCAACCAGATTGGGCCTGCTTTGGGATCAGTGTATGCCATCATAGGTTGGGCAAGGCCCCCAGTGTGAACAAGGCAGTGGCTCTGGGGCAGCAGCTGTGCATTATTTCTCATGTGCTGCAGGAAATCTGAGAGCTACACATTCCTGTAGCCAGCACAGGTTACGTGGGATGCTTTTGTGCTGTTTATGATTTGAGATAACAGAGATTGGCATATTTTAATGAAAATGCTTCCATATTCAATGAAAGTCACCACCCAGGTGCTAGCATAGCATTGTGATTAGCACAAAATGTTAACTTTTTTCTTTTGCCTTTTGAAAATTAATGTTGATTTCATTCAGCTCAACTTTCTGAATATCCACTGTGGGTTAGGCATGGGGATCAGGAGATAAAAGGTTCTGCTCTGCCCTTCCAAGAGACAAATTGAATGGTGAGACAGGTGCATGAGGCTTTGTTTGAGATGCCCCGGAAGACTTATGTACTGGATTCTGGGGACTGGGGAAGGCATCCTGGATCAGAAGATGCCTACTCTGAGTGCTGGAGGATGAGTGAGGGGAAGGGAGGGACTGTGAGGCAGATCTGGGGAGAGGAGCTGTGTTCTCTGGGACTGCCCCAGCGAGGAAGGAACTGGCACAGTGAGGCATGTGGGGCAGAGGAGGGGGGAAGAAGGAGAAATGGGTGGGCAGAGGCTTCTTCTTTTTTTAAAATACTTTTTAGTTATACATGGACACAATATCTTTGTTTTGTTTATTCATTTTTATATGGTGCTAAGGATCGAGCCCAGTACCTTATATGTGCAAAGCAAGAGCTCTGCCACTGAGCCACAACCTCAGCATACCCCTACCCCCAGGCAGAGGCTTCTTGATGCAATCTGTATGCTGAGAAGGAGTGTGTGGCATTGTGTTTGGAGAGGGAACATTAATATTTGGGAGAGGTCATGTTGTCTGTAGTGTGAACAGTAAATTAGAAGAAGGTGACCAGTAAATGACCAGTTATGTAGGCCTTTTCTGCTTGGGTGGGCAGGTTGGCTCAGAACACCCTGCCAGCACATGAGAGCTGAGACCTGAACCCAGATACAATGTGGCTGTCCTGCCAGGATTTCTGTTCTTGGTTTAGTCCCTTACCAGATGACCAGCTGGGAGTGGCCACCATGAATCAGGCATCTACCATGTGCAGGCATCATATTGGTCCTTTCGTATTTCCTATTTATTCCTCACAAGAACCCTGTGATATAAGTGGCATTATTCCCATCTTAGGGATTACAAAACAAAATACCAGAGCTGACTAGTGGCTGGCCCAAAATCAGGCAGCTTGTAAGTGGCAGAATGGATTTCAGGGTCCAGCCCTTTGGCATTTTCCCTTGGGGCTTTCATCCCCATATGGTGGTGGGGGGGGGGCTTGCTGATAGTAGCTTTGGTTCCACAGCCCTTTGAGTTATTCCAACAGCTTGTGAAATGTAATACCTGTGAATTGAGTAGATGGGCTCCTGGTGGTCTCTGGCCTGGTTCCCATTCTCAGGGATTTGGAATGTAGAGGAGAAGGAGCAGTTGATTAAAGTTCAAGTAGCAGGTTTGCCAGCAACCCACTTCAACAAAGGTGCTGTGGATCCTGTGTGATTGGGGCCAGCTGTTGAACTTCTCATGAGTCTGTCAGCTCCCTTGAGAAATGAAGGAGTGGTATTTGGCTTTCTCTAGATGCTTTGACCCCCAGAGCCTCTCTTATCCTAAATTATAGAAAGGAGAGCTGGGAGAGACTGGGGCCTGGTAGAGGAAAGTGGGTGAGCTCTGGGTTGAGTGTAGGTGGGTTGGGAGTCATCAGGAGGCTGCCATTGGTTCAACATAAAATGCTGCTTCATACTGCTATGAAGTCTTTGGCTCTTCTCAATGGAGGAGCTGCTTCTAAGCAATCTGTTTTCTGCCTGGTTCCCATGTTAGCCAAGGGCATGTCCTGGCAATCCTCATATTGAATGAGGGATGGTTTCATATCTGTGGTCTATGTGGGCGATGGAATCACACCTTGGCTTCAAGGTCCCTTATCACATTACCTGGTGGGTAGGGAGGTGTGTGGTGGGAGACTTTCCTAGATTTATGTCTTTTTCTCTGTCAACAGATCTGCCTACATTACAACAAAGGAGATGGACCCTTTGGCTCTTGTTCCTTTCAGAAGCAATGTGTCAAACTCCATATCTGCCAGTACTTTTTACAGGGGGAGTGCAAGTTTGGTGATAGCTGTAAGAGATCCCATAATTTCTGTCATTTGGAGAATCTGGAGAAATTGGAGAAGTTGGGCATGAGCTCTGACCTGGTGAACAGGCTACCTTCCATTTACAGAAATGCATATGATATCAAAAATAAGAGCTCAGCCCCCAACAAAGGGCACCCTCTTCCTGCAGGCCCTCAGGGGACTTCTGGTAAGGTTGGTGGCAAGTGCTACAGGCCCTGGGATGTGGGTCTTTGAGTGCTTGCCATTTTCTGGACTCTGTCTTGGGCTCTGCTTATACCTTGGGGTGTGTGAGACATGTCTCCCCTCAGAGCACATAATCAGACCCATTGGTTGAGCTGTAGAGTAGCTACATTTTAATAGGTCACTTCCTAAAATACCAGGTGAGTGCTTGGACTACTAATCTTATCTGATTTTTCTGTTCAAAAATTGTTTTTGCTGTATCTGTTTTTTCTTTCTGTTTTCTTCACTTATGTTTTGTTAATCTCATATAACTTTAGGAAGCTTAGAAATACACATATTTTGCTTTAAATGGATGTTTAAGAGTTTTCATTGTATTATTACCTTGCTAGAAAGGGAGGGAGGATAAACTTCTGAGTAAGGTCAGGTCCCAAGGGCAGTCACCACACTGGGGAAGAGAGGGAGGTACCTTCTGGGCCTGGATTTTTTCAAAAAATCCAGGGCTTATAATGAGAAAAGGGAAGATGAATAACAAAATGATAAGTGATACTAAGCAGGGAGATGTCACAAATGAATTTTATATGCTTATTTAGTGGTAAGTAGGTAGTGGTAAATGTAATAAATACTCATTGGAATGGTTCTAGAAAAAGTAAACTCTGAAAGCACTTCCATACCATTTTTATATTAAGAACCTTGTATTAACATTAATTTAAAAAGTTTCATTTGGAGGTGTAAACTTTCCATATATTTTCTTTTTCTTGATTTTTAATACCCAGTTCTAAGAGTTCATTAATAAGTATTTGTTGTATAGAATCAAACCTTGTTTATAGAAAGTAACCCTCCATTTGTCTTTTGTGACTTGGGTGGACAGCCAAGTGACTGGGGTGTACTTGGTTTGTTAAGTAGTTGTGGTATTGAACTCCTGGCTTCTCACTGAAAAGCAGAGTGCCTACCTGGGTATCTGGTGTGCTTTCACCCCTAACAGGATGGTTTTGTCAGTTTTCCTAGTCTGTTTCTGTTTTGTGCAGAGAAATGAATGAATTCTCTTTTTTCTCCTTTGTACTTTAACTACTGTAACCCTACATTGCTGGAAAGTGACACATCTTTGTGGTGTTTCTTTGTAGAAAGAAGAAACAGTTCAGGTTCTGTGTCCCCAAACACTCCTACACAGGAGGAGAGTGATCAGATCTGCTTGTACCATATTCGGAAAAGTTGTAGCTTTCAAGGTAAGCTGGAGGAGGGCCTTTCTTCCCTCTCTTGGGAGGGGTAACTGCTTCTTTGTTCCTGGAGCTGTGCTCTGAGGTATCCATAGAGAGAGGAGGGGGCCCTGGCACTTTGACCAAACCAGTTCTGAAGCTGTTTTGTTGGGGGGTTGAGGATAGCAGGAATTCTTGGAATTTCTAAAATTGAAACTGTAGATGAGTTTTAGGAACATAACTATTTGGATCTGTAGCAAATAAATGCCAAGTGTTGACCGTTGGTCAGCTTGGGATGGAGCCACAGACCTGCTTGAGACAGAAATGCTTAGTTCTTAGTGAAATCCAAGGTGAGTGTCACTTCTAAAGGATAACAATAGGCCTAGGGGAGTGCTAGAAACTGGAAGAGAGGAGATACTTGCGTTAATTCTTGGAGGATTAGTTAAGTTAGGTTGTTTTTTCTGTCTTGATCCAGTGTATCCCTTAGTCCCTCTTTTATCAAAAGTAGCAGTGTGTGTGTGATTTTCACTAAACCTTTGTTTTCTTCTTAACTGCTAACCTGGCCTTTGAAACAAAATTTCTTCTCAAATTCAGTGATTCCCCTTTAAAAGCAACCACCAAAACTTCTTGTTTCATTTTCAGTCTTTAAAAATTACCCAAGCGATTCATGAATACTTTCACTTTGTGAAAGAGTCAGATAATACAGAGTAAAGCAGGAAGTCCTTCTTCATCCCTCCCCAAAGGTAAACGTTTGCTGTGTGGTCGTGGTATTTGTTTTACATATTTTTAAACAGACGGGAGCTTGTGAAAACATACTATTCAATCTGCATCTTTTTGTAATGGTGTGTTTGGAGATTTTTTTTTTCCATGTTAGCATGTGTAAGTGCACCTCATTTTTAAAGCAACTGTCTAGTATTCAATTAGTAATGTTCTGTTAAGCATGCAAGTATACATGTGTCTTTTCATGGATTGATTCCTAGCACTAGGTCAAAGAGTGTGCTATATGTATATGTATATATTTATATTTTAAAATCAAATTTATTGATATAATTTATACTTGATATGCATCAATTTAAATTATATGCATCAATTTAAAATTCTGAGTTTTGATAAATGTATATGATACTGACAGAATATTTAGCACATGGAAGAGTTACTTCACTCCAAAATGTCCCTTTACATTTAATCCTTACCCCATAACTCACCAACTTCAGAAATTCTTGATCTAATTTTTAACACTGTAGGTTAGATTTACCTTTTCTAGAATTTCATACAAATGGAATCATATAGTATGTATTTTATATTTTCTTGTGCCTGGCTTTTATCTTTCTCAGCATGTTCTTGGTATTAGCATGTTGTCAATGTTAATAGTTTGCTCCTTTTTACTGCTGAGTAGTATTCCCTTGCATGGATTCACTGCAGTTTGCTTATCCATTCATGTGTTGGGGTAGTTGTCAATTTTTGACTTTTATAAAAAATAAAACTATAAATATTCATGTATAATTTCTCATGTAAATGATTTTCATTTTTCTTGGCTAAAGACCTAGAAGTGGATTACTGGGTCATGAGGCATACTTAACCTTATAAGAAACTGTCAAATTATCTTCCAAAATGGATATAGTATTTTACATTCCCAACAGCAATAAATATAAGTTCCAGTTGCCCCACATCTCTGCCAATGCTTGGTATTGATAGCCTTAAATTTTAGCCTAGAAGTGAACAATGGTGTCTCATTGTGGTTTTAATTTGAATTTCTCTGATGTTTAGTGATGGTTAACATTTATTTTCACGTGCTTGTTGGACAATTTTGTATCTTCTATGAAATAACGGTCAAATTTTTGTTATTTTTTGTTTTATTAAAATAGTGAATATGTCACAAACCACACAATTAACCCATTTAGTATTTTTTAGTTTAGTAACAGAATTGTGCAGCCATCATCACTGTCAGTATAAGGATGTTTTCATTGCCACTAAAGAAACCATGCCATTTGGTCATTCCTCATTCCTTTCCCGCACTCCCAGCTCCTGGTAACTATAGATGTCTGTCTGTCTCTATGGATTTGCCTGGATATTCACATAAACAGAATTGTACAATATTGATCTTTTGTGACTATTTTGCCATTTTTATTGAGTAATTTGATCTCAATATTATTGAGTTGGAAGAGTTTTTTATATTATGTATGTTGAAAATTCATTCTCCCAGTCTCTTTCATGTTCATTTTCTTTATCTTTTCAAGAATAGATGTTTTAATATTAATGTCCATTTAATATATGTCCATTTGATGTTCATTTTAATACCTTTCTTTTTTGGTATTTTTGTAATATAAAAATATTTGCCTATTCCAAGACAAATATTCTCCTATGTTTGATTTTTTTTTTTTTTTTTCCTAGAAATTGCAAAGGTCTAACCTTTATGTTTATGTGTGGCGGTTACCGCTTATCTCTGATTGTTCCTTCCCTGGGAATTGCTTCTCCTGTGTGGACTTGCTGCCTCTCTCCACTATTTTCCCTCATGTGTTGGCTCATTCTTGGCTGTCTGTCACATTGTACTTCACAAGCCCATGTGTCTGTCTTCCTGGTTGATTCCAGGGGACTGATTGTAATTCCATCACAGAGGATTTGTCTCAGTGATGACAGGTAGAGGCTGCATGTCTTGCCATGGGGTGGGCTGCTGGCATGTAGGGACTTGAAGAAACTTAGTGACTGTCTCAGGTACTTTTTTCTTTGTGCAGCCCTGATGTCCACACTTACCCATTCAACTTGGAAGCATATAGCAAGGTTGGGCAGCCCAAGCAAGTCAAGTACGGGAGTCCCACTCCAGTGGGTCCCCTTATTTGAATTGTGATGGGCTTAAGAGTTTCATCTGCCCCTGAGTCTGTGAAGCCCCTGAGACAGTCTTCTTCACTATGTGGAATCTTCTGCATATTTTGCTGAGTTTTTCCCCTCTTTTTGTGTTAGTTTGGTTCTGTCTGCTGCATTGTTTAGGAATTCTTCAAGAAATCTGTTTTTTTGATGGTACTTTTTATTGATTTCCTGTGCTTTGGGGTTGGTTCTTCTATCTGGCCTGTTATTTTAAGGGACATAGGGAGGAGAATGCAGGTGCTTTGCCTGTGCAATTGATTTGATTTCTGTGACTCACCCTCTAGAAAGCCTAGACTCTGGAATACCCCAGTGAAACGGGGAATATTAGAAGGAGGGAAAGAAAGTAGAGAAAGGGGACAGAGGATCAGGGAATATGAGGACAAGGGAAAGGGCCTTGTGCCTTTACCTCTCTGCTAGAATGTTCACCAGCCATGTGGTTGCAGTGACATTTTCCATGTGCCTTCCAGCTATGAGCAGTGTGGCCTTCATGCTTGCTCCTGCGTCTACTGTTTGACCTCAGTGCTTTCCCCAGGCTCCTGGGTCTTTCTGGAGGAAACATCCATCTGGTGGGTCATGGCAAGGTGCACCTTCCTGAGGGTGCTTTCTTGTGGGGAGTTTTTCTTTAGGCTGCCCAAGATTCACCTGGAATTTATAGAAATAGCTTCTCAATATTGGGGTGCTCTGGGGAGGCCTCTCTGCTCTTATCCCTGATCATTTCTTTAGTCTCCTTCAGGAAGGGAACAGGAACTCTTATGTGATCATGACCTCTGCACCATAGCCTGGCCTTATCACTCCTGACTTAGCCCTTTATTATTCGTTGTGTGCATTCCTTGTCAAGAGTCCAGGAGGTCACTTGGCCTGGTGTGAGCTGTCCATGCTCAAACTCTGGATGAGTTCAGGGATCTAAAGTGTCTCCTGTCATGTGTTCCTCTTTGTTGAGCTTAGAGGTGTCCTCATGTGAGTTCTAGCAGCTTGTCCCCTGAGCCCTCTCAGCCTAGTGCTCTTTTTTGCCCTGTCTGTCCAGCCCCAGGCCTGGTCTTTGATAAGCCCTCACAACATCCCTATGCTCCTCCATGGTGCTCCCCCCACTGCAGTGCCCTTTAGCAGACTCTAGGAAAGAGCTGGCATTGAAATGTGCCTGAAGGAATGCATATGATTTTAGAAAATTCTGATTTTTTTCAAGTGTCAAATTAGCCAAACTTCATTAGGGTTATTTTGAAATATGAATAAAAAATGTACAAAGGACAGTAAGAAATAATTCTTTCTCACATCTGTTTTCCTTTGCACCCAGGCTCTAGCCGTGATTACCCAGTCTTTAAATATCCATTTAGAAAGATGTCATCTGTGTACAAGTGTATGTCTATTCAGTCTTTTTTTTTCGTGGTGCTGGGGATTGAACCCAGGGCCTTGTACATGCAAGGCAAGCACTGTACCAACTGAGCTATAGCCCAGCCCTCTATTCAGTTTTATTCTTACACAGGTGCACTGGCAGACTTGTGCCTTTTTCACTTCACTGGATATTTAGCTTTTTGGAATATGTAATATATTCTTGTGGTTCAAAATCAGAAGTGTACAAATATGACAAAACTTTCCTTATAACTTTGTTTCTAGTCACCCAGTTCTCCTCTGCAAGAAATAATATCTGCATATATGTGCATTTAGCCACAGTATCTCCAATCTTTCCCCCTCATTTTCTGTCTGGAAGCATTCTGCACCTTGTCCTGTATCTTTCTACCTTACAGCATGTATCTTGGCGGGAGGTCTGTGTCAGAGTGCAGGGAGCCTCCTGATCCTTTCCTTTCTCCCTGTCCTCTCCAGCCATCCTCTGTAGCTGTCACAGAATCTCTAAGAGGCAAAGAGTGGGTGAAAGCTGTGTTCCAGTGGTAGGACTGGTTAGAGCAAAGTTTAGGCAGGCAGCATGACCTCAGAGACACAAGGCAGAGATGTGGCTGCCTAGGAGCCCGGGGATGGTGGAGGGGAGGAACTTGAATATTGGTAGGGCAGAGCAGTGAGTGTGAGGGGAGATTGAGGGAGGGGTTAGTCTGTTGGCAGCCAGAAGATATCCTGGCAGCCAGAACTGCACTGCTGAGTCATAACCTGCCTCACATGTTGGGGTTGGAATGGGTTTATGGTAGAGATGAATCTGGCTTTGTCTCTGATCTCTGCCCATCCACGTGCCACATGTCTAGAGATATTGAGCACTCAGACAGCCCCCCTTCAGGGACTCTTTTGTGGAGTCAGGGTCTTGCTGCCTTTCCTAGGCTGTCCTTAAACTTGAAACCCTTCCATCTGAGCCTCCCAAGTAGCTAGATTACTGGTACATACCACTGTACCCAGCTTGTGATCAGCTTTTTCATAATTATGAAATGAAATTCATAGATGATGTAAACCACCAATGTACATATGTTTAAAAATCAATGAAAGGTCTTATTAAAATATACAAAGTATTTCAGTATCTAAATGTTCAGGTATGACTGCACTAAGAAAACAAAGACTTCCTACAATATTCAGAATATTCTCAGGTCAGCAAGCAGCACTATACCCATTAATAGCCACAGGGTGTGGCTAAGCCATGTATTGCCAGGTTGTCTTAGCACTTTATGTTTCTATTTTAGATAAGTGCTATAGAGTTCATTTCCATTTGCCATATCGATGGCAGTTCTTGGATGGAGGCAAATGGAAGGATTTGGACAAAATGGAGCTTATCGAAGAGGCATATAGCAATCCCAGGAAAGACAGGTAGGAAATGTGTCCTTTGTCTCTGCTTTGTGCCTGGACTTCTGTGTGTAGTGTTGGAAGTTTAGCTTAAATAGCAGTGTTTTGTTTTGATGGTTTTCACACGCACACACAAACCCCTCACATACTCTAAGCAGCGTGGTCTGGAGGTGGAAGCTGGGCTAGAAATTGGAAGTTCATGTTCATACTGGCAGTTTGGTGGCTCTGTTCTCCCATCTTTCAGGGAGGAGTTGTAGGGAAAGGAGAAGATGGTACCATGACCAAATGAGTTCTCAATTATTTACTTCTGTAATTGATCACATGCATTAATTCATTTGTTAATGCAGAAAAGTGAGAGGTGATAGTTTGTGATGTTTTAGCCTTTTTTTGTGAAGTTATATAACTGAACTACTGTTTATTGTTTAGCATTTAACTTTTATTTTTCTAAACTTGTCCAAGTGTTTTCATCCAGTTAATTCATAGTAAATGGGAAAGTACCAGACAGCTTTATTTCCAAATACTTAAAATTATTTGGATTAAACTCGCTAGAATATGGTGCCGGGAAGGGAAACTTGGCCTACCATTTGTGTAATTTGCAAATTGCTGTTGGTTAAGTATGTGAAACAAATTACTCTCCTTAGGAGGATTAAATGGTTCACATATCACCCATAATCTTTCTTTTTGAGGCAAAATTTATACACAGTGATGTGCACAGATATTAAGCATGCACTTCAGTGAGTTTTGATAAATACATACACTCACATAACTAAAACTGATTGAGACAGAGGGCATTTCATCTCCTCAGAGGATCCTCATGTCCCTCCCAATCAACCTCACCCCTCTAGCCACTACTGTTCTGATTTCTTTATCATAGATTAGTTTTGCTAGTTCTCGAACCTCTTAAAAATGGAATCCTATGGTATGTACTGGAGTCTGGTGTCTTTCTCTGAGTGCTTTGAGACTTACCCATGTTGTGCCAGTCTCGGGTGCACAGGTGAGTTTCTGTGGGATGGATATCCAGGAGGGGCTTTGCTAGGAAGTGGGCTGCATACACACTCAGCTCTGCCAAGTGATGCAAGACTGTTCTCCAGGATGATTGCACCACTTTCCACCCCCATTAGCAATCTCTAGGGACTCATCTCCCTGATACCTGCACTTTCCTGGTCTAGAGTGTAAATATGATCTTAGTTTGAATATCCCAGATTCCTAGTGAGGGAAGCTCATCTCCACATGTCCATTGGCCGTTTTTGCTTCCTCTGCTGTGAAATGTCTATCCTGTTTTGCGGGATGGGGACAATTTTTTAAAAAATTCTATTTATTCATTTTGAGGAATTTCACTACATTTCTGGATGCTAAATATGATTTAAATAAATAAATTCTTCAGATCAATTTATTGTATCCTTTTAAAATTAAAAAAAAGTTATTCTTTTTTAGATATACATGACAGTAGAGTATATTTTGACATTTATACATGAAGTATAACTTCCCATTCTTGTGGTTGTACATGATATGGAGTGACACTGGTCATTTGTTCATATATGAACATAAGAAAGTTATGTCTGATTCATTCTGCCATTTTTTTCTATCCTCCTTTCCCTTCATTCCCCTTTGTCTAACCCAATAAACTCATATTCTTCCCTCCCTACTTCTTATTGTGAATTAGCATCTGCATATCAGAGAACATTTAACCTTTGGTTTTTTGGGATTGGCTTATTTCACTTAGTCTCCAGTTTCATCCATTTATCTGCAAATGCTGTAATTTCTTTTTTTTTTTTTTAAATATTTATATTTTAGGTGTAGATGGACACAACACAATGCCTTTAATTTTTTATGTGGTGCTGAGGATCGAACCCAGGTCCTGCCTTTGCTAGGTGAGCACTCTACCGCTGAGCCACAATCCCAGCCCAAATGCCGTAATTTCATTCTTCTTTATGGCTAATATTCCATTGTGTGTGTGTATGTGTGTGTATATACATACACACACCATGTTTTCTTTACAATTTATGGTATCTTTTAATGCAAATATGTGTTTATCCATATTTTACTTTGTGACTTTCTTTTTGGTATCTTAAGAAATCCTCCTAAGCTCAACACCATAAAGAAATTCTCCTGAGTTTTCTTGTCAAAGTCCTACTATTTTCAGTGTAATACTATATTTAATCTCTCCCTTCATGTGGTAAAAGTTGAGCCCAGGGGCTGGGGATGTGGCTCAAGCGGTAGCGCGCTCGCCTGGCATGCATGCGGCCGGGGTTCGATCCTCAGCACCACATACAAACAAAGATGCTGTGCCCGCCGAAAACTAAAAAATAAATATTAAAAAAAAATTCTCTCTCACTATCTCTCTGTCTCTCACTCTCTCTTTAAAAAAAAAAAAAAAAAAAAAAAAGTTGAGCCCAGTTTCATTCTTGCGCAAAAGAATTACCAGTTTTGCCAAAAACTACTTTAAAAAATATATCTAATCTTTTTGTTGTGATAAAGAATATACAACATAATTAAAATTTACCATCCTAACCATTTTAAGTGTATTTCTCAGTGGCATTAAGTGCATTCACATTGTTGTGACCATAATCATTGTCTATTTCCAGAAGTTAGTTTATTTTTAAACCCATAGAAAGCCAGATTTGGTAAAATGTTAACGTATCTCAGCTCATTTTTAGATAGGGTGTCAAATTTCACTTTTTGAAAGAGGCCATTCTTCTTTTTACCTGTCTTCAATACCATCTGTGTTGGCTCTGCATTCACACGTACACACTCGTCAGTGTCTGACCTGATCACTGTCCATCTCTATCAGTATCACGTTGACTTACTTGTTAGAACTCTCTGTATAGTATGTCCTGGCATCTGATAAAGCAAGCCCCCACCTCCTTTCTTCAAATTGTCTTGGTCCTTGGCATTTTGTTCCTTAAGAAATTTAAAAATTTCATCAGCTTTCACAGAAAACGCCATTGTGTTTTTAAATTGAAATTGCATCGACTCTTGTCAGTTTCGGAGAGAATTGACAGCTTTGTGTCATTGATACTTTCTATTTATGTACATGATGGCTTTCTGGGCTCTCAGCCTTGGTCTCTTCAAGTGTTGCTTCTCTGGATTTCTGATTAGACATATGTTGAGATTTCCTCACTTTTCTTTTATGTCTCCAAACTTCTCTTTTATTCTATTTCTTTCACTGCTGCATCCGTGGGAATTTCTTCTCCTTAATTTTCCAGTTTACTAGTTCAGGCTCACTTGGAATGCAATGTACTCCATTTAATTCTACTATTATTTACTTCTAAACATTCTGATTTTTTTCTTTTAATTTACCTGGTCATATTTTTGCAATATCTTAATCCTTACTGAAACTTTCAATCTTTAATTCATTTTTAATATACATATTTGCATCTGAGAATGCTAGTTTGTAGCCCTTGGTGGTCTGTATTTATTAACTAAATTTCTCATGCTGTCCTGTTTCCACATGTGTCTTGTTATTTGCTTTTAAGCTTACATTTGATGAAGCTTATTGGTGGAAATTCTTTTGGGGCCTCAATTGAAGGTGAATTTCTCCAGAGAGGATTTGTGTTTGCTTCTTTGGGAACCACATATTTAAAACTCACTCTTGCACAGAAATGTGAACCAGCCTAAATTCTGTGTGAGGTTTGAGTGGCTCAGGAGTTTGTGGGGGAGTTTTTTTCCTCTTCCATCCAGATCCAGCATGAACACAGACAAATTTTCTTGCTGATTGCCTTGCCAAGGCAGGTCCCCTCCCCATGCCCTGTTACTAAGGATGCATACTCTTTCAGGGCCCTGGGTTTATGCAGAAGTGTGTCTCTAAATTGAACCTTCTACCTTCCGTAGATGCTGTGTTTGTTTCCTCTTGTCCCCTTGACTGCTAAAACCAAGGCTCTTGGTCATTACTCACTGACACTGCCTGTGGACAGCTGCTGGCCTCAGCCCTCACTTACCTCTCTGGTTTTGTATCCCTCTCAGTCTTTGGGCAGTATGGTTTTGAAAAGGGAAACCTGTTCTGGTGGCTGAGCATGCTTCCCTTAAACCCTGCCTACCAGCTCTTTGCCTTGGGACATGTTTCTTAGCCTTCCTGAATTTCTGTTTTCCCACCTGTGACATGGAGTTAATAGCCTCACCTGATAGGGTTATGAAACTTAACCTCCTAATGTATATAAAGTACTTAATATGGGGCTGGCTCACATGGTAACTAATCACTCAGTATATGTTAACTCTTGTTGCCTTCTGAGAATGTCTCTTCCTCAGTTGCAAGCCATGCATTTTATTTTTTAACAAACCCAGACAGGTCCTCCTACATGAGGCAATTCTCTGCCACTGCAGTCCTAGTGCCTTTTGGAAAAAAAAAATTTTTTTGTTGTACTAGGAATTGAACCCAGAGCCCTTTAACACTGAGCTACATCCCCAACCCTTTTTATTTTTTATTTTGAGATGGGGTCTCCTGTCACTGAGGATTTTACTGAGTTGCTGAGGCTGTTCTTGATTTGTAATCCTCCTGCTTTAGCCTTCCAAGTTACATTACAGGCATGCACCATCATACCCGCATTGAAAAAGAACATCGTAACCAACTTTATCTGTGTTTTGTAGTGAGAGGAATTTTCATAACTAGTCTTCTGTATTGCTATGATAATGATGATGATGATTATTTTGCATAGCAGACTTGAACTTAAAAAGCAGTTTTCCCATCTTTGGAAACACTTCTAAAAAATGTTCATAAGGGGCTGGGGCTCAGTGGTAGAACATTTGCCTAGCGTGTGTGAGGCCCTGGTTCTATTCTCAGCACCACATAAAAATAAATAAAGGTATTGTGTCCAACTACAACTTAAAATATTTTAAAAAAATGTGCATGAAACTTTAATATTTGTCATTACTGGCTGTATATCTCCTGGCAGGAAGCTGAGGGACCTGTTTGTTTGGCTGTGCAGTTTTCAGTCTGCCTCTTGTTTTCTTTGGCAGGATCCTGTGTGCTGAGTCGGCCAGTAGCTTTCACTTTGATACTCTGAACTTTGACACTATGAGGTTCGGCACCGCCCAGGCTCGTCGCCTTTCCACAGCCTCCTCAGTCACCAAACCCCCACACTTCATCCTTACCACTGAATGGGTTTGGTACTGGATGGATGAGTTTGGTTCTTGGCAGGAATACGGAAGACAAGTAAGTGTGAAGGAAAGAGGGTGAGTATTTTTTCCAGGGTGGAGGAGCCATTGAATACATGAGCATAAAGATTGCTAGGGAGCCTTGATAGAGTCAAGGATCCCCAGATCCCTGAATGACTCAATGACATGGGGGACATTAACTTGGTAACGGTAGGACAAGATAATTTGGATTCATTTGTACCAGTTTTGCATCTTTGACCAATTAGACATCCCTTGGCTCCTGAGGACTGAATGAGAAAAACTGAAGTGAGACCAACTTTCTTGATTGGTTTTATTAAATGGGATAGACAAGTGCTTCTCTTACTTATTAACAGAAAACTCCAGAGCTAGTTCCTGGGCATGAAGGTGTGTTCGTGTAGCTGCAGTATAAAGTTTAAAGCTTTTCAAACTGCTTTTCTTGCCTATTTCTGTGACTTTCCAGAAGATGGTCATATATAAGAAAATTGATTCATATCAGAAATTGATTTGGGGTCTAGATCAAATTTCTCTCACTGTCAATTATTTGAAGGTGTTTATGATGAATGAGACTGAAGGGCGTCTCTGATCACTTGGAGAAGTGTAAGAATAGGGAGATAACCATTTATATAGGGATCCCTCTCCTCAATGAAAGTGAGCTGTGGAGCCTGATATCTATCTATTGTAATCTGGGTTGTAGGAGGCTATATTGAAGTTTTGGTTTCTTTTAAAAATATTTTTTTAAATTAAAAAAATATTATTTTTGGTACTAGGGATTGAACCCAGAGGCACTTTACCAGTGAGCTATACCCCATCCCTTTTTTATTTTTTGTTTTGAGACAGAGTCTCACTAAATTGCTTAGGGCCTAAGTTGCTGGGGCTGGCCTCAAACTTGTGATCCTCCTGCCTCAGCCTCCTGAATCACTGGGATTACAGTTGTACACCATCATGTCTGGCTGGTTTCTTGTTATTAACTGCACTCAGAATGTTATTTTCTCTGGCCTCACTTGGAGATCAGCTGCAAGGGAGCAAGGAGTTTTCTCTTTTGCCACTGATGCATTCCCTATGCCTGGAACGATGACTAGCAGGTTCTCCCGAAACAGACATTGGCCAATTAAACGAGAATATATACTGCCCCTGTCTGTTGATCAGTTGGAGCTGGTCACTTTCCAGTACACTCTTCATTTTCTCTTTAGCACCAGCCTCTCCTCAACTGTTGATCTGCCTGCCTGTCTTTTCCCTCTGGCTACTTCTCCTCTCCAGCCTTCTGGGACTCATTACCTGTGTGGGAGCCTTGTTCAGACAGGTTTTCCAGAGTTGGTCAAGAGCATGAGGGGAATAGTCTGGGGCTGATTTGGAGGAGGGGGAAAGGACATTCTGCTGTTCATGCTCCATGAACTCTGCTTGCCTGCTAACAAGTAGGTTCCCCGGTGGCTTGTCAAACTGAGTTGTCACAACTCAGTGGGTCAGAGACCCTAATTCTCCCAACAACCTGCATTTGGATTTTTTTTTCTTCTATGTTCTTACTCCTTTACTGCACTGCATAAACTTGTTGAGGAGAGGTTAGGGTTCTGGGAATGAGCTGTATGTGGATGTTATTGACATATCCAGGTGCTAGTGGGGCATGGAAACAAAGGTGTGGACTTGGTGGGTTTCAGCTGCATGGTCGTCTTTTGTACCGTTAGCTCGACAGCCTCAGGACCATCTGTCTGTTTTTTCCTCATGCGTTTCTAGGGTAACTCCATATTGGGTTTCTTTTTCAGTTTTCTGCTAATTGCCAGGTCATGCCAATTTTCCTCTTGATTATTAGAAAAGCTAGGTTTTTTTCTGTCTGAACTCAGGAGATACCTCAAAATTTCAAGGCATAATCAGATACTTTCTGGTCCTGCCTCAAGATCTGTGGGAACCTGTTCTATCTAATACCCCCAGATACTAAACTTGGGCCTCCTCAGTTTAAAGTTGGCTTCTTCTTCCAGATCCTGGAACTTAGGCACCACTCTAAGAATATAAGGTAGGTGGTTACTTCAAAAATTGTCTACCAGGGGCGCTGGGGTTGTGGCTCAGTGGTAGAACGCTCACCTAGCATGTGCCAGGCACTGGTTTGATCCTCAGCACTACATAAAAATAAATAAATAAAATAAAGGTATTGTGTCCAACTACAATTTAAAAAAAAAATTGTCTGCCTAGTATACTCTCTGTTGATGGTCCTCTTAGAGCCAACTCATTCTCACTCCTCAGGCTCTGGCCTTGGCTCACGTCTTTTTTCTCCAGGAAACCCTTTTTGCTCCTTCACCCCCACCTAATCTTGATCATTTTCATGAAGTCCCTTTAGCTTCTGTTGCACTCCATGCAGACCTGTGTGGGACCTTGAGCACAATATATAGACATGTCTGATTGCTTTTGTTTCTCCCTCCTTTCTTGCTGAACTAAATTGCCCAGAGGCAGGGGCAGATCTTGTTTAATTTATTGTCTGTCCATAAAGCATAGAACCTGTGGCCTAGGAGGAACAGGGTGCTAGGAATAGGGGGAGTAGGAAAAGCTACAGGGACAGAGGGGGTTATAGGTTAGGTAACTTTAATTTTAGTTATCAGAGTATTAACTATAATAAAAATAATGAAGCAGGAAGTGGTAGTGCATGCCTATAATCTCAGCAGCTTTGAGAAGGGAGGCAGGAGGATCACAAGTTCAAAACCAGCCTCAGCATTTTAGTGAGTCCCTAAGCAACTTAGTGAGACCCTGTCTCAAAAAGGGCTGGGGATGTGTCTCAGTGGTTAAGTACCCCTGGGTTCAGTTACTGGTTCAAAAATTATGACAATGATAAGTAGCATTTATTGAGGACTTTTTCCAGGCATTGTGCTAAGTGCTCTTTAGGTATTACCCTGTGAGGGTAGTATAGTCTTATCATATAATGCGATGAGTATGCATGAGTATGATAATTATTCTTGCTATATATTTGAGATAATGGAGACTCAGAGAATTTAAATAATTTATCAAGAAATGGAGTCTTCAAGTTTGGAAGTGAATTAGTTCATTTTATTTGGCTGTAATAAAATACCAGAGGTTGGGTACTTTATAAAGAAAAGAGGTTTGTTTAACTCACAGGAAGTTGAAAGGTAGCTCCATTTATTCAGCTTCTAGTGAGTGCTCTCTTTTCTGGGTCACAACATGGTAGAGAAGCAGAAAGGGAAGTAGCTATGTGCAGAAAGGACCAAGTATGTGGGGTGGCCTTGCTTTATAACAACCGCTCTTAAGAGAACTCTATCCTAAAGACCAGCATCGAACCCTTCTGAAGGCAATGTCCCCAATGACCTAAGCATCTCCTCCTAAGCCCCACCTATTAAAGGTTCCACCCCTCTTAACATCACTACACTGGGACCAACGCTCTGGAGCAGGAACCCTTGGGGAACAGACCACATCAATCCATAGCAGGGAGCCAGAATTCAAACTCAGTGCAACCCCAAACATTAGCTATCCTGGAGGTGATCATAGATGAGATGAAGGTTTGAAATGGATAACTGGAAAAATAGAAGAGTTTTCCAAGGGACCAGAAAAAGAAAGCTTCATGGAGGAGGAGAGAAGTTGGATTAAAGATGGTGGGAATGGAAGGAGCTGAAGAAGAGGCAGTATTGCTGGACTATCAGTCAAGCTGTGTTGGAGAATCCACTGTTGATATTTCACTGACATTTGAATGGCTGCGTCATCCTTTCTGAGGAACTCCAACACTCTCTCTTCTGTTGCTCCCCTTCCTCTTACCCTGCTCAGCGGGACCTGTCTTATTGTCTTCCATTTACCAGGGAAACTTTCAGGAGAGTTGTGTTGCCTCCCTTCTGAGCATCCTTCCTTCCCCTGTCACACCCTGCTCCTTGGCACTCCCTCCTTCCTCATGATAGGATGTCCTTGTGGGCATGTCTTGAAAGTGGTATGGATATACCACCATCTTTTCTCCTCATCATGGGTTCTTGCTTTCATAAGTTTCTGGCTTTCCCTTCATAGGGCACAGAGCACCCTGTGACCACCATTAGTAGCAGCGACGTGGAGAAAGCCTACCTGACATTCTGCGCCTCAGGGACCGATTCCCAGGCATCTACCCTGAAGTTCCAGGCTGGAAAACACAACTATGAATTAGACTTCAAAGGTAACCCCGCCCCCCATCAGAGCCTGGCTTGTGTGGGCACAGCCTTTCACATGAACCTAGAACCTGAGCTGGCGTAGGAAAGAAACAGAAGAGTGTTCATCTAGAAGTGGAGGCAGATCCGTCAGTGGATGGTGCTGGCACCACAGGGTGGAGATGTGTGTGGGAGATATGAGGAGAAAGGACCTGAGGAGGGGCAGGAGCCAGAGTGCGGAGGTGCAGGCAAGGCACCAGCTGCAGTGCAGCTGTCCTGAGGGCTGTGGTGCATCCCCAACAAGGCCCCCATGGCTGTATTAGCGTCCACCTCAACACTGTCTGGTAGGCAGTACTGCTGTGCCTGCTTTCTGGTAGGCACCCCCGGCCTAGGCGGGATGCCAGCTAGGTTAAATATGTGGTAGAACAAGCTTTAATTAACAGTTCCTGAAACAGGGACCTGAATGGTTTGTCCCAGTTACTTTACTCAACAGAAGCAGGTCGAACACTTTGACCACTTTCTTCAGAGACCAGTTTGGAAATTTCTTTTCAAGTTTTAGTTTTGCTATAGCTCCTCTTATGCAATTTCCACATGAATATAGCAGTCCAGCTATTTAGTTCAGTGTTGTTCATGTTTCACATTTTAGACTTGGAGTCCCGAGGGTTCAGCATTGTAAAGGGAATATTAGGGCCTTGTTCTCCACACAGTGTACTGTTTTTGCTATTTAAAAAAAATCTTTTTAGTTGTAGATGGACACAATACCTTTATTTTTGTTTTATTTTTTATGTGGTGCTGAGGCTTGAACGCAGTGCTTTACACGTGCTAGGAAAGTGCTGTACCACTGAGCCACAACCCGAGTCCCTGCTTCTGCTACTTTTGTGGACCTTTGTTCTGTGTGGAGGGCAGCAGAGTGTTTCTGATGAACTATCTTAAAACTGCTTTGGCTGCTTGCTTTTGGCCAATTGGTTTTGTAGCACTTTGGTTTCACTTAAGGCAGAGCCCATGCTGCACAGGATACCCCTTCAGATAAGTCTCTTCTGCTCTCCAGTGGGATCAGCTCTGTTGGAGGATGCTGGTATAGGTGTGTGGTTTGCACTCCATGGCTGATAGACACAAGTATGTGGAAGGGCTCGGTGGGACTTTAGGACTGCCTTGTAGACCAGAGCTGTGCAGCTCACCTTTCTGCCTGCTGACAATACTTTGAAATAATTTTTTAAGTACCTAGAAAATATCAAACAGATACAACAAAAATGTCAGGTGCAACACAGTTCATTCTTCTCAACCTAGACCTCATTGCCGGGGACATAACAGACTCTGAGGACAAGAGTGGAGAAGAGCATATGCAGGCAGTTAGAAAAAGCACTATTGCAGCCTGGTATAAGTTCATTGGGTGGGCATAAGCCTGGTATAAGTTCTTTTTGGTAGGTAATAGCATCCACAAAAGAAGTTTGAGATGGTTGGCTTTGCCCTCAAAGTCTCAATACTACGAATAATGAAAGCAAGTCTCAGAACAAACTCTTGACATACACACAAACAGACATTTTTAAACTGTGTATTAGGAAGCAAGCGTATTTAAGATATACACACAACAGTCCAAGTCACTACTTGTTCTGTAGGGTTAGGAAGACTCAGCTCAGTCCTTTTAGGGATGCTTGTCATAGAGTCACTCAAGGCAAAAGCTAAGATTTCAGAGTCAGAATTCTGACATCCTGTTAGCTTAGCTAACTACAAACAGACAGAACTCCCCAAATCAGGGCTCATTTAGGGACATAGTCTAGTGTATCCTTTTCAAGGGCAAAGGTGGGAAAAGGCCTCACTTTATCCATGGAAGAAAGAGAAGGTATTGAATACATATTTAGTCAGCCCACATTTCTTGAAAAACTTTTAATCTTATCAGTGAAAGCTCATTTAAAATTCATCACAAATGGTTAATAGGCCAATAAAAATATTTAAGTGCACTAATGAGCAAAGCATCAATGGGAAGTTGAGTTGTAGGTATCATAAAGGATCATGGAAACTGCATATAGGTGGTGTACTCTGAATGATGATGTGGGTGGCCGTGGTGTAAAGGACATCCCTTGGGTTATCTATCAAGTATATGCCCAAGCTCAGTAAGGGAAATTCTAGACATCTGTGATTTTAAATATTAGGGTGTTCTTAAAAAAAAGAAAACAAACTTGTTTTTGTACTGTAAGTGTGGAAAGTAGGATTTGACAGGGTTTTCCTGCTAGGTAGGGATATATGCTCTAACTTCTAGGTATTCATTTTTAAATCAAGCATTTATTGGTGTTGTAACTAAAGGCAGTAGTATTTCCTCTACCCCCATCTTCAGAATGAGTAGGAAATTCTTGAAGCTGAGGCAGCAAGAATTTTGTTTATTAAAAGATGATACACATGTAAATAAGTTGATAAACACTGCTATAGAGTTAGCTTAATCAAACTAACAAAAGTTGTAAGAGTAAAATTATTGTATTAACTCTAAATCCTACTAACTCAAGACATGGTAATTTGGTCTCAGGCTCGGTTGAAGCTATTTTATATTCAAGCTGGGAAAAATTGCTAAGCAAAATAATAGCTTAAACAAGATTGGAAGGAACAATTTAAAAGCACTCATGTATAATTGATACGTCAATTACTAATCATTCCTCTATTCATTAAACCCAGTCTCCCAAGGATACTTATTTTCTTTACAAATATTTGAAATGTATGAAACTACCTTATTTTTAAGCCTGGTTCAGGGCTTTACACATTTGGATTAGCTTTCCATCCCATTTAATTTGTGTTTATAAAACATTGATGTCCTCTCATTGGCTGTTTTTTTTCAGCCTTTATTCAGAAAAACCTAGTCTTTGGCACCATCAGAAAAGTTTGCCGCAGACCCATATATGTGTCTTCCCAGGATGTGAAGACAAAGCAAACCTGGTAGGTTGCACAGGGGCCCCTGCTTGGTTGGCATGTGCTTTCAGTTGGGGTGCAAAAAGCACTATTGGTGTTGTGACTAAAGCTCTAGCATTCAAGCCAGCATTCAGATCCACTAGTTGGGGAGTCGTGAGCTGGGGTTAGAATTATCTTGTGAGTAGAATCTTCATCGCACGTAATGCCAGGACTACCTATTGGGATGTGCAAGCCAGGCTGGACTTGAAGCCAGCCCAGCAGTTTGTCTTTTCAGTGTAACAATTGAGTTATAGACCTGAATTTTTAAAAATGTTGACATGATGAAATAATGATGGAATTAATAAAACCCATGTATTTTAGTCTTGAATATCAAGGAATACCGAATTACCAAAAACTGGCATTACAGTCACTAATGGGCCAGTTTCATCTTCATTCAGGGTGGGTTTATTTATGTCATAGGGTGGGTACCAGGAACCCCTAGGTGAATCCCCTTCCTTGGGAGCACAGTGGTAGAGGAGAAAGACCTACAGCTGATGGGGAGATTGACACTGATCAGGCCCCATTTGAAGCAAGATTTCAGGCTGGTGCAGGTTGATGAGATTGGAGTTAGGTGGGAAGGAGTCAGTACTCTCCAAACCACAGGCCATGTGCGGGGCGGGTGGGGGTTGGGAAGGTGGCCTAGATGGTGGATGGTGGTACCACAGTGCCCCTTACAGTTTGGGTTTGCCACAGTCCATGTTGGGACTTTGGCCGCTGCTGTCAGCTAGGTACAGCTCCTTTATTCAGGCTCATTTGTGTTTCCTTGGAGATAGTGTCTCTCTTGGTTCTTTTAAGACCTCAGAAGTAGATTTTGGTGGTTGTCTTTGTGAAACATAGAAAGTCATTTAAAACAGAATTTGTGGGACTGGGGCTATGGCTTAGTGGCATAGTGCTTGCCTAGCATGAGTTGTCAAACTCTTGGATTTTTGTCATTCTCACAGGTGCAAAAGGATGTGTCTGTACTTTAGCTTGTTTTATCAATGAGGTTGAAATTTTTTCCTAATGTGTAAATGCTGTTTCTCCCCTTTCCATCTTATTTTTCCTGTGGTCTGTTTGTCTTCCTATCCATTTTTCTATCAACTTTTTGTTTTTTTGGTATTTTTCTTAAATAATGAGAACTTTTCTCTGTTAGGGAGACTAGCCCTTGGTTACTTGCTTCTGTCGGCTTTTTAACTTTGCTTATGAAGGATTTAACCATACAAAGATACTTCTGATTTTACTTTTTTTGTTAAATGTATCTGTCTCTTTATTGCTTCTGGATTTAAAGTTTTGGTTGATTACTACCTTCCTCCAGCTAGAAGTCATTTTTTTATTCTTTCCCTATCCAGACCTGTCCTAGGCACTTTGGAAAAGTTTGTCTCCTTTCTGAGACTGGCTATCCTATGTCATCATTGTAATTTATTTTTCAGGAGGGCCACAAGCAGATACCAAATGTTAGAAATAAAAATGATTATTTTGGCCAAACACAGACTCAGATACGAGTGATTTAGTATCTCTCTCTCTCTCTCTGTGGGCTGAGTGCCTCACACTGCTCATGCTGTTGAAGTGCCTGGTTCTTCTCAACCTGTGTGATGGTGGCTGGTTGTCATTAACTCCAGTGGGAAAGGCTGCTGGGGCCTCCATGGCCCAGTGGGACTCTCAGGTGGATCACATTCAGAAACACTTATGCATTTACAGTTAACAGAAGCACAAAATGTGATCTCCGTATTCAGAAGTTACAATACAGGAATATCATTTAATGTAGTATTTGAAACAGCATTTATACACATCAAGTGTCTGGTTGAGTTCTTCCCATCGTCCATAAAAATATTTTATTCATGTGCTTTGTCTTTATTTTTTCTTTTTTAAGTGCAGTTTTTTATCATTGCACTTCTTAAAAAAGACTATTCTAGAAACTACATTAAAATTACTCACATTTTTACCATTTCTTTGTCTTCTCATATTTCCTTAGAGGAAGATCTGTTGAAAAAATCTTTTGTTTTGGGTTTGTCTGAATGTTTTTTGTTTATTTATTTGTTTTTGGATTGGGGGTACTAGGGATTGAACTCTGGGGCACTAAATCACTGAACCACATCCCCAGCCCTATTTTTACTTATTTGTATGTGGTTGCTGAGAATCGAACCGAGGGCGACACACATGCTAGGCAAGCGCTGTACCGCTGAGCCACAACCCCAGCCCCCCCCCCCCCCCCCCCCCCAGCCCTATTTTGTATTTTATTTGGAGACAGGGTCTTACTGAGTTGCTTAGTGCCTCGCTTTTTGCTGAGGCTGGCTTTGAACTTGCGACCTTTCTGCCTCAGCCTCCCAAGCCGCTTACAGGCATGTACCACAGTAGCTGTCTGTCTGAATGTTTTTGTCGTTAATCTTGAAAGACATTTTCACTGAGTATAGAATTTTAGATTGTAGTTATTTTCTCTTAGACCATTGGCGACCCCATTTCACTGTCTTCTGGTTTATGTTGTTGCTTTTGAGAAATTGGCTCTTGGTCTAACAGGCAATTCTTTGACAATAGTCACTTCTTTTTCCATTGGCTGATTTTAAGGACTTCTGTCAGTCTTGGTGTTCTGCACCTCACTACACTGTGTCCATTTTGTGTCTGTATTTATCCTGCCCGAGACTGATCATCTTGGTTGGTGTCTAGTCCGTTCTGCTCTGTCCTCCCTGTCTGGAGCTTCCTTCAGGTTCTGACCAGATCGTGGCAAGGCCTTCTTATTCTGTGCCTCAATTTCTTCCCCAGTTTCTTTCTCATCTTTCAGCTTAGTGCTTCTCTCTCCTCATCTGCTATTGAGCATGTCCATTGAGCTCTCATTGTCAGGGAGTCTACTTTTCATTTCTAGAAGTTCTGTTTGGTTCTTTTTGTAGATGTTCCAGGTCTTTTAATGGTTTTCTTGCATATGTTTTTAAAGTTTGCCTTTTATTTTTTAAACATAGGAAGAATAACTGTTGTTTTATGAACTGATAATTTCATCATCTTAAATCTTTGTGTGTCTGTTTCTGGCTGATGCTTGCTGGTGGGACCTTGATTAGTTATTTTTAAACCATGCCATTTTCCTAGGAAGATTATTTGTGGGAGTTCTTTGAGGCTTAGAATGAAGGGACATGTCTCATGCCAGCAAAACAGAAGGTAGATCTGCTGTGGGAAACAGCACATTCTGAAACTTAAGGAGAATGATTTGGAATCATAGTTTCACAGTTCAGTTCCTAATCCTGTTGGGCCATATGTCTTTTAGAACTGCTTTTATTTGTCTATTTTTATTTTTAGAAAGGTAATGTGGTGCCTGTATTATGTGGCACTCTATAATTTGGCACATTGAAATTACTGCAGTAAAGAATGTGTATTGTTACTTTAAGAAGGATGAATAGAAACCACAAGTAGTCTCTTACCAGTTCAGTTAAATGTCTACTGCCAAATGGGTTTTGGTGTCAATTTTAAGTTTTAAAAAAATTTTTTTAATGTCAACTACACATCATTGAGGCTTTCTAAAGAAAAAAGTCTTTGGAGCTTTTAAATTTCAAGACTGGATAAAGGCTGTGGCCTATGTGTGCTGTTTTACTCATGTGCTGTGATCCTTTTGTGTGGTTATTGGGACACAGGTGAGAAGTGTATCTCTCGGGACTGATTGTTTTAGGTTTGGCCACCAAAGCAAAGATAAAAGTACTCCCACAGTGTGAATATTGTGTTATGTGCCTCCTTGCATTGGGTTGGCTTTTAAAATATGCTGAGACTCATAACTGGTGATGTCGATAGTGGAGACTACCTATGATAGATTTGGTTGTTGAAGGATGTCTAAATGGTTTTGTTTACATGTTGTAGCAGTGTGACGTTTCAAGGCCCAAAGAGCATCCCGGACTACTGGGACCCCTCAGCTCTGCCGGACCCAGGCTTTAAGGTATGGGACTCACGTAGGGCTGGAGAGGATGGGTTCTATAGAGAGGACGAATGTGGCCAGATTGCACTGCGAAGCTGTGGCTCCTGAGAGCAGGAGGGCAGAGGTACAAATAGGTTTTTGTTTTTGCAGGGAGTTTTAAGCCCAAGTAACTACCCAGGAGATGGCTGTGGCTCTGAGGGGAGAGGGTACAGGGTAGAGGGAGGAGAATGAGTTGTGCAATTTGTTAGGAAGGGCAGAAATAAGGAGTTGTCCTTGGTTAATAAAAATCAGTTTTACTAAGGAAGAAAAGAAAAATGAGGGGAAGATTTAAAGGGCATTTATTTATTTATTTTTGGTACCAGGGATTGAACCCAGGGACACTTAACTACTGAGCCACATGTCCAGTTCTTTTTTATATTTTATTTTGAGACAGAGTCTCACTAAGTTGCTTAGGGCCTAAGTTGCTAAGACTGGCTTTGAATTTGTGATCTTCCAGTCTCAGTCTTCGTAGCTCCTGGGATTAAGGGTGTGCGCCACCACGCCTGGAGGATTTTGCAGGGAGGGCACGGATATTTAAAGGGGAAAAGCAATAGATGCTAGAAAATAGGAGAATGGACAGTTCAGTAGCTCAGTATGGGCCTGCTCTCTGATGGGAGCAGTGCTGAACACAGTGGAGTACTCAGACTAATGTTCTGCACTGCCCCATCTACATGGAACCCTTGGGCCGACTTCTGACATGTTTTCCAACATGATGAGCCCTGTCCTGGGAGAGCTTCTCTTGGAGCGTACATAAAGCCCAGGCAAACACCAGCAAGTGCAGGCAGCGTGTGGAAGGACTGGAGGAGTTCAGACACCTTTATTGATACTAGCTCTTGTAGGCTGCATAGTCCATCCATTGTCTCTGGCCTGCATATAGAAGAGCAGGGACGTCCTGCGTATACCTAGAGTGGCTGGCTTAGGCAACATGCACCTGTTCTTCATGCTGGTCTCCCAGTAAACAAGAGGGAAATGACCATAATTTGCAACTATCTCAGGCCTGGAGAGACCCTCTCCGAGGGGAAGGGAGCATGGTTGTCACTATCTGGCTGACTTGCTTCTCCTGTTCTTACATCCTAGCAGTCTTAGGAGGGGATTCATCTGTATTTTGCACTTTGACAATAACATATTAAAATACTGTCCCTTTTCAGAGGATCATCCTGAGTTCTTCCTCAGAAGAGTATCAAAAGGTCTGGAACCTCTTCAACCGCACGCTACCTTTCTACTTTGTTCAGAAGATTGAACGAGTCCAAAACCTGGCCCTGTGGGAAGTCTACCAGTGGTGTGTTGGGTTTGCTATTGGTGGGCTGGTGGCTCTGTCCCATCACCCTGCTACCTTCTTAGCAACAGCATTTTCCTGAGTCTCCAGGAAAATCAGTAGCACTGTTCACCCAGTGGTGCTGGGTATCTTGTCTCCTTATCCTCAAGCTGTGTGGCGGTGTGGCCCACTGTGGAACTGAGAATACTGAGGCTTCCCAAGCTTAGACTTTGTTCCTGTCATAACTGGTAGTAAAGGCTGCTCCCACCCTTGTCCATTCTGCCACCATGAAGATTGGCAGGATGGGATAGGATGGCCCACCCTTGCTCTCAGTCCCAGAAACTTTAATGTATGGCCACAGAGCAGGGACTTCATTTTCCACATAAGGGCTGGTATGTTCTTGGGCACTGGCACTTCCCTTTGTGGGATGAAACACTATGGGGGGTCTCCCTGAAGGTTGGGGCATATGAATCTGTCCCCATATGGGTCAGGGACAGTGTGATCTGTACAGTGTCATGGGAGAGGGTTGGACCCCAACTGATGAACCTCCTCCCAGCTTTCCTCCACTTCCCAGCTTCCTAAACTCAGTTCTGCTCAGGTGGCCCTGCTTTCCTGGGAGATCTACTTCTGGAGCCTGGAACTGTGGAGGGAGGGGAGTTTCCCTTCTGCTCTTTGCCAGGGGCCATTCCACCTTCTTTCCCATTCCCTGGCCTATAGCAGGAGCCTCCTGGGCCTGGCCAGGGAAACCCACAACTAATCTGGTCGCATGATGCTTCTATTATCTTGGCAAATGCATTTCCAGGGGTTCAATAGACTATATTTGGTGACTAGAACCCTCTGCCCCAACATGCATCCTTCTGCAATTTTAGGCAAAAAGGGCAGATGCAGAAGCGAAATGAAGGGAAGGAAGTGGATGAGAGGCAGCTGTTCCATGGCACCAGCACCAACTTCGTGGATGCCATCTGCCAGCAGAACTTTGACTGGCGGGTCTGTGGTCTTCACGGCACTTCCTTTGGCAAGGGTAAGGCGAGGGCGGCCTCTACTGCAGCATGCCTCGCCTCGTCGCAGGGCTGCCTGCTAGAGGGCAGGAGGGAGCAAGCCTAGGTTGATGAGCTGGTCTAATCAGCAAGAAGTGGTCACCTGCCCTCTGAGGGTGTGCCCCTGAGCCCTCTGGGGATACCATGGCCCTCTGAGGGGATGCTCTCCCTTGCCCTGCAGTATCCTGACTATCACTCCTCTGTATATAGCTCAGAGCTCAACCTAAGATGTGGCAGGGCAGCCCTCCCTACTAGGATGTTGCTTCCCTGTGGAATGCAGGCCCTGGGAGGTAGTGACAAAGTCAGAAGAGGAGAGGGGACACCTTTTTACCCCGATGAGGTCACTGGACTATGCTTTCATGATGTCATAGAAACCTGAAAACCTTACAGTGTCATGGTAATGTCATTCTAGCTATTGTTCAAGTTATCTGTTTTCCTGGCCCTTAGTTATTTTTAAACTTTATTTGGAAATAACTTCAAACTCAGGAAAGTTGCAAGAAAAAAATATATATGCAGGAATATATACATACATATATTATATAATCTCCTGCATATATTTCACCTACTTTTTTTTTTTACCTACATTCATCAGTTTTAACATTTTACCATGTTGGTTTTATCATCTCCTCTTTTTTTGAACTGTTTGCAAGTAGATGGCATATATGGTATTCCTTCACCCTGTAATACTTTATAAGATCAGGAAGGCTTGTCTTACAGAACCACAGTGTGGTTACCAAATTTAGAAGTATAATAACCTGCAGTTCGTATTTCATTCCCATCGATTATCCCTCAGGAAACTTCAGTCTGATGTGGTGACAATTCTGGGGCTAAGATGGACAAGAGCCAGGGGTAGGTTTGTGAATCCCAAAGTAGAGATGGCAGCTTCCAGCCCAGGTTCCCATTTGACAAGGCTCATAGTTGTAGGTTGGGCTGCTGATGGCCGCAGAATGGCTCATGAATTGAATCTCATTCACTTTCCCCACAAAGCCTGTGAGGTTGGGTGGGGTAGCTCCATTTTAAAGCTGAGGAAGCAGGTTCAGGAGTTAAGTACAATGTTGTGCTTGGAGACTGTTAGATTTTTGATGGTTTCAGAACCGGAAGGAGTTTTCTTTCCGAGTTAAGTGAGCCCCCTGATGCCTTGCCATGTGGAAGGTGTTGACATGTCGATGCATGTCCCTTCATGAGGGGAAAGGGTGAAGAGGAAGAGGGGCAGGGAGATAGGGTGTCGAGAGAGCAGAGGCTCCTGGGATTGCCCATTCCCACAGTGACATCTACCAACAGGTTTTTACTCTCCCCTTCTTGACTGTGGGCCTGTCCTCCCAGTGCCCACCAGGGCCCATGTGTGTCATTTCAGGGAGCTACTTTGCCCGAGATGCCGCATATTCTCACCACTACAGCAAATCTGCCACGCAGACCCACACGATGTTCCTGGCCCGGGTGCTGGTGGGCGACTTCGTCAGGGGTAATGCCTCCTTCGTCCGTCCCCCGGCCAAGGGAGGCCAGAGCAATGCTTTCTATGACAGCTGCGTGAACAGCATGTCTGACCCAACCATCTTCGTGGTCTTCGAGAAGCACCAGGCCTACCCTGAGTACCTCATCCAGTACTCCAGTTCCTCCAAACCCCCTGCCACTGGCTCCTTCCTTGTTGCCCTGGGCTCCCTATTTGGCAGCCGGCAGTGAGGGCGGCTGGGGTGCTCCAGGCCAGCTCATCTCTTTTGGAAGAGCTGTTCAGGATGTTTTTCTTTTTAAACAAAACTTTTAATGAACTGTTGTTTAATGTTGGCTTCTCAATGAAGTTAAATTCTTAATCCCTTGCTGGTAATAGTTTTCCCTTTTAGGTCATTTTTGGGCTTGCTCGTGAATTTGCCAGAAGTGACTGTAGGTGAGCCCAGTTTTACTTTTTAATAATGTGTTAATATTGTATTTGTTACTCTGCTGACTTTGCTGCTTATTGGCATCAGACACAGAGTTTATAGACACTGTTTTATGGATTTGTTTTAATTGTTAAGGGTTTCTATCTCTATAATGATTCCATTTCTCAGGGTCTCATGACCTCTGTTTTGCCTTTCATCAGAGGCACTGTAGCTGTGTGGGGACTAATGGAGTGTGTGGAGGGACCCAGGACAGGCCTGGTGCAGCTCTGTCAACATCTGCCTTATGATCTGGCACCAGCCCAAGCAGCTCTATGGCTGTTGCTCCTGGGCTCTGTTGTTGGTTGAGCTGTGTCATATTGTCAGAGCAGTGGCTCCTGTGTGGTGTCGAGTCCCTGCTGGTTTTCCTTCGTCTTAGTGGGGTCAGCAGTCATCCAGAGGAAACAATAGCCACCCTGGCAGGAGATGTGGATGAGTACCCCGACCCCTGGGCCTGGCCTGTAAATGCCCATATCTGTATCCCGTAAGCACATTGGACATCTCCAAGTGTGGGTTTTACGTCCCAATGAGGTTGAATACCAGTGCTGCAAATGTCACATGAGAGTATGGAAATAAAAGACTATTTATCTGAAGTGGATGAAGACTGGAGCTTATTCTTCTGTGTCTATTTTATTGAACAGCTGCTGGGTACCAGGTTCTTTTCTGAATACTGGGAACTGTTTTAGTCCTTTGGAGTGCTGTAATAACGTTCCATAGATTTGGTGGTTTATAAACAACAGACATTTATTGCTCCCAACTAGAGGCTGCAAGTCTAAGGTTAAGGTACCTACAGATTTTGGTGTCTGGTGAGAACTCATTTCTCACAGGTGGCACCCTCTTACTGTAACCTGCATGGTAGAAGATCTTTCAGGTCTTTTATTATACAGGGCACAAATTCCATTCACTCCACCCTCAGGACCTAATCACTTCTTAAAATCCCACTGCCCAATATCATCACCTTAGGTGTGAGGGTTTAGTGTATGGGTTTGGGAGAAGAAACAAAATTCAGTCCCTAGCTGGGTCCAGCAGAACTGTCATTGGCCTCATCGGGCTGTGTATGGACTTAATCACAAAGCTAAAGGTTTGCGCCTCTCCCTTGCTTGAACACTTCCAAGGCCTTAGGAGGGCCCTAGCAATATATAGTCACATGACTGTGGGTTTTGGTAAAGTTTGCAAAAGTTTCATATTTGTATTCCTTTATTTCCCCTACTACAGAAAGTTTCAGCCCCACGAAACCCAGGTTCACTGTTGATCCTGTGCATCATGAACAGAGCATGCTGTGGTGTCTGGGTGTTGGCTGGTTTTGGCCAAGTTGGCAGAGAGGCTGGCAGCCTCCCAAGAGAAGAGTTCAATCCTGACTTGGTGCTTCCGCTTCAGTTGATTTGTCCTGTGATATTCAGATCCAAGGCTAATTAGTTTCCCCATCTTTGCAGTGTTGCAGCTGTCTGCAACCTTACCCAGGTGATAGATCAAGCCAGAGAATTGCTGAGTTCAATGACCAGAAAAAGGACCAGCAACTCCACCTCAATCACCAGCAGGGCCAGCCACATGGCTGCATGTGGTGTGATTTTCAGATCCCCCAATGATGTTCCCCTACAGCCTGACTAATCCTGAAGGTTCCTTCGTTGCCCCCCACCCCTTTTTAAGATGTTGATGGACTTTTGTTTGTTTATTTATTTATTTTTATGTGGTGCTGAGAACTGAACCCAGTGCCTCACATGCTAGGCAAGTGCTCTACCACTGAGACACAACCCCAGCCTCCTTCATTGCTTTTTGACTGTCATTGGTTACCAAGTCTTTGTTACAGTAGTGGGGGAAGGAGCCATAGAGAGGCACCAGATCAGGTGCTTGCCTTGAACATAAGGCTTGAATGTAAAGAACACTTCTGTGCTTCTTAACCACCCAATTACCCCAGGGGTAATTGTAATCAGGAATGGCTCATTTGGGAGTATGGGTGGAAGAATGGCCAGAGGAACAAGGTGGGAAGTAGTCATACGCGCTGGGAAAGTTAAGTGAGCTATGAAGAACAGAGAGGCCACTGGATATGGTGACCTTTGAGAAAGCAAGTTAGAGTAACTCTTTGGACTATCAACACTAGAGAAGGGCATGGTCCATGTGGACAACCTGGTGGATGCAGGGGAGCTGTTTTGATGGGTCTACGAGAGGGTGGACATTATGATGGAAAGGAGCCAGAATGATTACAACTCTGAAGATGTCTGGTGCTAAGGCATAGTAGGATCTAGGCATCTCAGCTGGAGGAGTTGATCATGGATGTTTGTGAGGACACAGTTGGAATATAGTGAATGGTTGCATGGAGGATCCAACCAGTTCAGTCCCTGCCATTTGCTGCCCCATGATAGATGGTAGGCATGAACTGAGGGATTTAAGCAGGACCAGGGATTATGGGGTTCAAACAGTATAAAGTCTGAGATTCCAGTGATTCTAGCACACTCACTGTGTGAGCAGATGGTGACCACCTGGGCATGGAAGGTGAGGGAGGCCCAATGGAGCTGATGGGCTGCGGGCGCAGGGCCAGAGCCTGGCTGGGGCCACAGGGCCAGAGTTGCAGGTTGTAGGGACTGTGCTCCAGTAGGAATCTGAGTACTCAGTTGGGCTGATCTGCAGGTTGAGGTTCTGAGGTGGCAGTAGGGTGCTTAGGGGTTAGGGGGCCAGTGAGGGAGGTGGATGGGTCCTCAGGAATTTATGGTTTTCTCCAGTGAGTCTTGAGTTCCAGGCCCAGGCATTGTAGAGTCTGGATGACCCAGAAAAAGTGGTGACAGCAGGTGTGTGGAGAGGGTCATGTGGTCCGTCTGGCCTGGGCCTCCCAGAACTGGGGCCGTTGAGGCAGTGGTGATTTATAGGACTGGGACAGCATAGGGAATAAGGCTGCCTTCCTTCTTTTTTTTTGGATACTGGGAATCGAACCCAGGGGCACTTTACCACTGAGCCCCATCCCCAGCCCTTTTTATATTTTGTTTTGAGATAGTATCTCACCACATTGCTTAGGGTCTCAAGTTGCTGAAGCTGGCTTTGAACTTGTAATCCTCCTGCCTCAGCCTTCTGAGCTGCTGGGATTATAGGTGTGTGGCCACTGTGCCTGGCTTTAAGGCTGCCTTCCTTTCTCATGTTCAGCCCCTTCAAGCTGCTCACATGTTGAATAGAGGAGCTTCCCTATTTTATAAGTGAAGAGACTGAGGCACATGGAGGGGAAAAGCCCAGCAACCACACATCTTCTGAGGGCAGAGCTGGGATTCAGTTGGCAAGTGCTTTGCTGAAAGTGACCTCACTAACACAATCGTTATTTTTACTAAAATTCACCTCTGTATTTTGATTCCTTGATTAAAATTAAGAAAAGATTTGATGTCCATTAAGAGAAAAAGGATATTTCAGCCCACATTTTTTTTTTATCTGTGGAAACTTATAATAAAGTTGGTATGACTCTACCCAGAAAAGTCAAAGCATAGTAGAGCTTTGGAGTGCTTTTGAATTTGAGTGTATGTGAATATCATTCACTCTCCAAAACTGCACAATGCATGAGAAACTGAAAAAGCTCTGTTCTAGTGCCATCAGGACAGGCTCACCTGAGGGCTCTGTGTGTTCCCTGAACTGTAGAATCCTTCTTGTCCGAGGCCAGGACTTCCTTTAAAACACCATGTTCTCAGTCATTTTGCCAAAACTATACATTCACTTATTTATCCACAATCTTTACTTAAATCAGTGGTTTAAACCCCGTTGGCAGTGTCAAAACCAAGTACAACAACTATTTATTAAGCATGTAGGAAATACCTCATAAATAACCTCCTTTATACTTGCATACCAGGCACCCTCTCAATCATGCCAGATGTGTTTTAAAACATTGGCATTTCCATGTGAGGGTTTTCTTAGAACTTAGTGATGCCCTTATAAAACACCAGTTTGCAGATACTGTAGCCATGAGATGTTCCCTCCTTTCCCAGACACCTTCTGTGTCAGCGAGACACAATCTTGATGTGGACTCCATTTTTGGGGCCCAAGGCAGATTTTGATTCTAGCTGCAGTGGAACCTAAAATAGAGGAAATGAAAATATTTATCAGAGTTAACTGTAAGCAGGAAAACTTCTTGGAACTGGGCCAGAAGCAGGGTCTGTGAGATTTCCTTGAGATTAACAAATCTGTCTCTTGTGGCCTGGCGTGGGCCCCAGCAGCACACCACTAATGAAATTTTTAAAACATCCCCTTTTTCTGGTGAATAAAATGCCACAAATGAGGAGCGTATCAGGCCCTGCACTTATCCATCCAAGAAATCTGGTTAGGGTGTAGTAATATCTTACTTTTCAAATGAAGAAACAGTTTCAGGATGCCAATCAACATATCTACGGTCACATGACTAGAACATGGAGAGTAAAGTCTTCCACTATTCTTGCCATCCCTGCGGTCCCCTCACATCTCATTGCTCTCTTTGGGGATAGTGGCTTCAGGCTGTTCTCTGCTCACCCATGCTGTGGTCCCTGATGTTCGTAAAACTTTGCCATGTCTAACTTCAAAGGCAGAGGCCATGATGGATTGGGGTTTTGAAACCCGAAGAACTACTAAAGAAGCCAATTTACACACTCCTGGAGTGTGTGTAAATTGAGGATTCAGTGGCTGATGTGAACCTCAGAGCAAAGAAGGATCCACTAGGTTTCAGTGCTGAGGCCCCAGCTAGGCCTATTTGGATGCCTTTGAGGATTGTGTCAGGCTGGAGAAAGGGTATATGCCAGGAAACAAGATGGTCTGCACCTGGGCAGTGAGCACCCAAAATATGGTCATGCAAGGGACTGAGGTTTTGATTTGATTCGAGTAATTAGATCGTAAATAGCCATATGTGGCTAGAGGCACAGCATGGGTCTAGATGAACTTGAAACAGGAGTTCCAAAAATGGAGAAGTGGGTTGAGGCTGGAAAAATCAGAGAGGGCTTCTGATTTTGGAGGAACTGGGTGGGGCTGTGAAGGTGAAGCCATGGGAGTGGGATTTCTTAGAGGAGGTAGGAGGGATGATGTTCAAGGTGGGGCAGTAGTCCGAGGGCAAAACCCTCTTGGGGTAGAACGTTGGGTGGGAAGTTTCAAGGTGGGCTCAGGCTCATCTTTAATTCAGAGTGAGTTAGAATGGGTTCAGAATGGATCCAGCAGGCCCTGGGGTCTCATGGCTGGTTTTTGTTCTCTTTTTAGTATTTATTTATTTTTAGTTGTTGATGGACCTTTATTTTTTTAATTTATTTATATGCAGTGCTGAGAATCGAACCCAATGCCTCACACATGCCAGGCAAGTGCTTTACCACTGAGTCACAACCCCAGCCCTCATGGCTGGTTCTTGAGCTGAGGGATGTAGTTTTGGACATTGATCTGGATATTTGTGTCTGAAAAGCCCCAAAAAGGAAGTAGTTGACCCTAGAATACTGAGACCATCAGATGCCCTGTCCTTCCTCTCAGTTTGACCCCTCACTTGTTCCACCCTTACCATCAGCCCTTGGTGGATATTTTCATTGCAGGGCCTCAGTCTTTGTGTACCCCAGCCAAATCCATCTTCCTGCACACCCGCCTAGCCCAGTTTGTGTGTCAGAGGCACTGCCAGTCTCCAGA